GAGGGATTCAAGGGGTGCTGGCATCACCTTGGATTCATAGATATGCCATGGAAATGAATCATGAGCTTGCTCAGAAGCTGCACTGGACTGTGTGAGGAGTGATGTTGTTGTATTTTCTATATGTTCGATACACCAAAGGTATTGCCGGAATTTGGAGCAGGCCCAGGGAGATTCCCTTGCTGACAGAAGTATGGCTGAGCCTACCTATTAAAAGACAGGCTGGAGTCCTATGTGTGTTAAACCATAATGTGATTGGTTTGGATTCGGTGAATGTTCTACAAGCCGTCACTGATGTTTGTAAGCCAGGGTTTATGGCGTAATGTACACATTCCCCAGTTGTCATTGACCAAAATCAAGGAAGCCATTGGCTTAGTGCAATGCAAGAACTCAGCCTTAAGGTGCCATTTTTTGTTGTTGTCTTTGAGTCATTCTTGATTCCTGGTGACTACAGGGACAAATTCATGCAGTTTTTTGGGCAACATTTTCGGAAGTGGTTTGCCCTTGCCTTCTTCCTAGGGCTGAGAAGGAGTGACTGGCCCAAAGTCACCCAGTTGGCTCCATGCCTAAGGTAGAACTAGAACTCACAGTCTCTCCTCTCTTAGTCCAGTGGCTGTAAAGGGATCATTTAGCTGAATCAAAATTTAAATTTGGGGTCCTCAGGGCATAGTGGCTGATCTAGAAACCAAATACTCAGTTTGTCAGACCCCTGTCTGAAAGATTCCATCTGCAGAAATATCATTTTTCTTGGGATCACTTAAAACATTAGGAGTCTTCTCATCCACTGCGTCCCCCTCTCCCTCTTACATCTGGGTCCTGTCTCTTGAAATGGCAAACGATGAGAAAGTTCAGTGTTCCAAGATGATGAAGCTGGAAACCTGAAATGAGAGAATATACAGTGTCTTTTGAATTGCATCTGAGCCCAAATCTTTATGATAGATCGGCAGAAGCTAAACTGAGCATGAAGGCAAATGCAGCTTCACAGCTAGCTTGCTGGGGGTTTTTTCTGTTTTTTTAAATGCAGATTGTATCACCGGGGAAGGCTGATAATAAAGAAGATCTGAGCAGATGTGGAGAGCTAATTTAATCCTCCTGCTGCAATCTAGAGAGAAACTCCTCCTTCAGAACTCGTATTTGCATTGGAAGGAAATCTCCCGCTGGTGCCATTATCAGACTGTCCCAGCAGATGCCATTTACATTTTTAAAATATCTTCCCATTTGATGCAAGGATGGATTTCATGTCTTCTGCTATAAGTCAGGCATCATAGAATTGCTAAGGAGTAGAAGACTTGAAGGAGAAGAAGCTGTGCATGATTGGCAAAACCGCTCTGCTCCTCCGTGCATAACCCAGGGCTTTTCGTTCCATTAGCCACGGGCTTCCTTTTTTATTTAAAACACAGCAAAGTGGAAATTTTCTTTTGCTTTGCTTGGGCAGTCTCAGAAAAAGGCTGGTTTTATGTTCTATGCATATGCTCATCGTGTTCAGATTTACTTCTCATTCACCAGAGGTGGATTTGTTTTATTTTATTTCGTGATTTAACAGGGTGTTTTTTTTGTTTGTTTGAAAGAAGTAAAACTTTTTTAAAAAACAATTTTTATTAAAAAAACCTTAGAGATAAAAGATAAACATGAAGTAAAGATTAAAGAAAAGAAAAAGAAGGGAGAATAATATGAAGTGAAAAAGTAAGAAAAAAGTGAAAAGAAATACAAATAGAAGAAAGAAAGGTATATAAAGAAGTGACTTCCAATCTTTTTTACAGCAGTTAAAAACTTATCTTCTCTCCTCCCTCATTAAAATTACATCATTATTCTCTTCTTCCCATAATCAACTCTTTTTAATTATCAAATCCATAAATCGCCATAATTTTTTTTCTATTTTCAGCAGAAAGTCCATAAGAGGTTTCCAGTCTTGTGATTTAACAGTGACTGAATTTAACAATCATTTGGACTGTCTTTCCAAAAGGCCTATTTTATTTTATTTTATTTTAT